GCATTTTTTCCTCAACAACACTGAAAGCATTTTTATAAAGAATAGTTAATTGAACAGTTCTTTGTACCTCCTCATACCAAAACAAATCGTATTAAAACCTACTTGAAGGAGGAAGTGAGATAACAACTGAGATTAAATGCAAAACTAACTATATAATGACAAAGCAATAATAATGGAATATTTTTCTCATGCATCAGACAATTAGCACGTTGATGTGGTTCACCTAATTACAGAAAGTACAATAAAGGAGTTGGGTTTTAAGAACTTACGAAGATGTTTTGCTATCTCGAGACCATTTTTTAATTTGGGAGAGTTTATTGATTAGAAATATTCCTTTTCCTTGAGCTTTGCCACAAGGTTTCATAATCCAAGTGCTGGAGGGATTTTTTCTGAATTCTTCAACAAAGAGATTATATGAAGCATAAAAGTAACAGGAACAAAATCTGAGTTAAGGGAAAAAAAAAAAAAGGTGCACAATTAAGGACACTATATCTGCTAAGGCTATTGACACATATAGACTAAAAAAAACTTCTGTCTTTTCAGTTTTCCAGTCTGGCATGATCCACCTTCATTAAGACTCATGTTGCTTTTTATCTCATTTAAATTTCAGTTTTTAGTTTTACTTAAACAATTGCAAAATATAGTATGCTGGTAACTTCAGATGAATAGATTTTAATTCACATGAATCAATTTTCTTCTTCTGTTTATAAACTGTGAAATTAGAGTATTATATACCATTCCAACTTTATCTAACGTTCTCAATTTCCTATGTCAGCTTTTACCATTCTGCTAACCACCTTATCTTCTGTGCATGCAAAGTGTGAATGTTGATGTTGCTTCCCCTTTGGATGTGGCAATTTTTATTCCCATGTAACTCCCATTAGTCATTCTTATATGCTCCCACAATCAGTATCACCATGCTTACTGAAATCTAAAGAAAAGCATTTTTCGCTTTTTGCTACCAGATTATCTTCACTTCCATCCATACAGAACTGCTTCTTTCTTACATGGATGGATAGTACTTTCATTTCACTTTCCCAAAATGTAAATCAACTCAACATATCCCCATCTGTTTCACTCCAATGCTTTCTGACCCTCAAAACAACTTTACTCTCCTCATTCCAGATCTATTGCTGGTTTTGTTTTGGGGTTTCTTGGGGCTTTTGTTTGGTTGGTTTTTTTAAAATTTTATTTTCTAGCAGTCATTACTTGTTCTCCAACTTCCCTCAAATTTCTCCTCTGAAGAGTTTGTTTGTTCAGTTCTGTCCAGAGCCTTTCTGCAAAAGTTTATTTTAGTTTTTGCTCCAGTATAAGACTTTCAGGTAATGTTTTTTCACTTTTGAATTAAAGAAACTCCAGCCCTGTCTCATGAAGTTCCAGAGCCCTTTGGTTTCACCTCTAATCTTATTCCAAAGTACTTTAATTCCACAATTTTCCCTCTTCAAAATAATTTTAAAAAAGAAACCAAAACAACAACAACAAAAAAACCAAACAACCAACCAGCCCTTGCCCCAGATTCTCCCCTCCCCAATCCCAACAAATCTATTTCTGTACTCTTACATTTAAAAATAATAATTTCATTACCACTTCATCCAATGTTGCTTCAGCTAATGCTGCACTGTTAAGTTCAGTCTTCTTTAAGGATTACTTACAAAACTAAGTCTAAATACAACTTCCGTGCCACAAATTGGATTTGCGCTCCTCCTTGAATACTGCTGAATACTAGCAAGTACACAGTGGAGGAATATGGCACTAATGCTGCAGTAATATGACAGGAAAATATAAATGTTCAATCTTTTATTCCTGCTTTGTCACTAATTTCAACAAAGATCCTGAACGAGTGGCATCCCTCTATTCCTCTCAATTTGTAAAATATTAGCCATTATCCTTCAAAGCAAGGTTTGTGAAAAGCTTTGAAAATATAGTACTTCATATGAAATACTCACTACTACTGTTATTATCACTTTCCCTATTCTTGTGTTTCCTTATGCTCTAATGGCAGATTTGAGGGGAGGGAAAAAGAGAAGAGAGAGAGAGAAGGCTGTTAGGTTTGCAGAATGCAACAAACAATTTTAGGATAAAGTGCGCTTTACTTAATTGACAGGGACAGAACATTTCAACATAGTCACTTTAATGTTCTAACACTTCTGAGGTTCAGTGCGTTATGCACAGAAAAGCTAGCTCAATTCCAGGTTATTGACTACACAGGAAAAAAAAAATATCTATATTTTTGACTACACAGGAAATAAAAATATTAAAAAAATTATTAAAAAATAAATAAAAAACCAATGCTGATAATGAGAACCACATACCCAAATAAATATATTTCCCATTTTCATCCTTTTCTGCAAGAGGACTTCCTTCTTTTTCAAGTTCTTTCCTATATCGCTTGATATTCTTTACCATCAAATCTTTTCTGGTCAGTTCATAGTGGTTTGGGAAATGATTGACAATCTGGTCATCAGAGAGGCGGTAACCAGTTTCCACACTGAAAACATTTCTGATTGTTTGTACGCTCATCCTGAAAGCAAAGACAGATACCGAATGATTTCTCCCAAGAAACACAAGTCCGGAGGACAAAGTTGAAATTTTTTTGTTACATTCACTTCATCTTTTCTCTCTCTTTCTCTTACAGTATAATGTTTTGCTGCAGTGACAATCCAACACATACTGAACTTCTATTAGCAAAACCAATGAAATTCTGCCACAGGTTTTATTGATCCCTCTACTACTACTGAAATTCGTGCAGAAAGTCAGAAAAAGAAGATGGTAACTTGGCCCTACTGGACTCTGGCTTGTGGATAGTCAGGTCAACCCCCAGCAGGGCCTTAAAATGACTGATGTGCACCCAAATGCTACAGAAGCATCTTTCTAAACCTGTTAAAAATGCCACAAAAACAACCTCCTACTGACTACCTTGCTATTCGGATTGTAAAGGACTTCAAGCATATGAATTGAAAACAGTGGTTCAGAGATCTTGCTAATAACACCCGTAAACACCAGATCAAAGGGCTGCAGTGACAAAGTCATCAAATCAGTTATCTACTTCATTTTCCACAGAAGAGCAGGGTCACAGATACGAAGAATATTCTGTATTAGATGTCTCACATTGGAAATTTAAGAATATTTCCTGAATGCAATTAATCTGCTACATTATCATTTCAGGAAGAAAAAAAAAAACACCAACCAACCAGTCACACAACAGTTTCCATGAATGCCCTGTTCCCCCTCTCCCCCCCAGCCACATTCCAAAAGCATGAGCAGATTACTAGATTCCTACCCATTTAAATAAGAAGTTCACAAAGGGTGCATTTGGCAGCACAAACCACCATTCTGTCGTATTTGAAAGGGACAATATAAATTGTTTGGTTTACTTAAAGAGTATTGTTTCTGCCAATTAATAGATTACTGCATTCTAGGACGGCATTTCATGGTCTTATATTAGGGAAATGACAAATAAGAAGCTAGATCACTTACTCTCCTCCTTTCACCATTATGGTGATTTAATTTCACATTCACTCTCAGTATTGAAATGTTGAATAATTAGTCTGCATATAAATCATTGTCATGAAGAAGGAGGAAAATATAGTTCTCAAGGCCTTTATTACAGGAGCCTGGACTCTGGTAACAGGGTAAGCTTCCATCACTTTCATAAAAGAATAATTTGTCATATATTGGAACTGTGTATTCTTGGATTATTTTGCTTATGTTGTGTTGTCAGAAAATTTTGGGAAAAGATACATTCAAAGATTCCCCTCAGGCCACAAATCCCCTCCAACAGTAAAGGAAAAATTCTACTTACTGCATACAAAAAAATTTAATAAAATCAGGTAACACATTTCAAAACAAAAACCACTGAGCACAGCCTTTCCCCTGGGCTTTTTACAACCGGTATTCCCAGAAGCGATCGATATCTTGCTAGGTCACTGACTTTCCAGTCCCTGACAAAACCTTTGGCAAACTGCAAAGATACATGAGATCAGTAGCTTGGGAATGGATCCATGCAGATGGGACCTTCTGCCCGAAGGAACCCCAATGACTTTAGCAGGCATGCACAGATACAGGAACCTACCAATGCAAATCTGAACAGAAGACAAGCAATAACCTAAGAAATTACAGAAGCAACAAAACAATGTTACACTCTTAGTGGCACTGCAGTAAATCAATGATAATTTCTGTACCTGTCAGTTTTCAATATGTATTTTGTTATATTATAAACGGTATTAACATAAGATATTGAAATGCTTCACAAATTTAGAAAGTAGTATTTTTAATGTACTTACCAATAAAAATTCCAGTCTTCATTTTCTGCCACTTGAATCCAGCCTCTTTTTTCAAAGTTGTTTATTAGAACAGACTTTTCTATGTCAGTTACCCACTTTACTTTTCCTGCCATTATCATAAAGCAGAATCAACCTGCTAGTAAAGAAAAGTTTAAAGATGTGAAGTTGAAAAAGGAAAGTCAAAGTGGAAGAAAAGTGGCATCTAGAAAGCACTTTAACATAAGCAAGGTAGAAGTAGTAAATTAATTTACAAATCAAGGAAAACAACATCTCATGTTCAGACTGAAACCCTGCATTTGTCAACTGGACAACTGCAAACAAGGACACTAGTTACAGGGACCTTTCGCGCTCCCCAGGCAATCCACCTTTTATAAATCGGCACACAGCTCATGTCTCCCCTTAAATACACTAATGACAGCAATCACTGTTGTACACTTACTGGGTAATGTTTACAGAACCAAGCGTAGAGCACAGACATATTATTATTTCCAAGCAAGACTTACATGCATATACTTTTTCCTTTGTTCTGAAGTGGGAGAGTTCATATGCATCACTTAGTGACTGTAGAAGAAAATAAAACTATTCCAAGAGAAATCCCTTACATGCTCTATCAAGAATCACGATTTGCTACACCGCAAGGAAGGGAACCAAAGTATCGCTACCAACTTTGTGTTGTCTTCTCTGTATTTCATGCAGCCATGATTTTGCCTTCTGCTCTAGCTGGGGGGGGATACGGCTAAGTTGGCATCATTAAACTCTTGAGAGCAGGATTTCCCCAAACCGAAGGTTGTTACAACCGTGCTCACAAGCTGCATTTCAACTCGTGACACCTAGGGGTCACTTTCTACATTAGATCTCTCCCTGGTCCCGATCAGGCTTTTCTGTTAGGATCACACAATCATTCCGGCTGGAAGGCACCTCAGGAGACCTCTTGGCCAGCCTCCTGCTCAACGCAGGGTTAGCTTCGAGGTCAGACCAGGTTGCTCAGAGCTTTATCCAGCCACGATCTGAAAACCTTCAAAGATGGAGATAGCACTCCTGTCTGAGATCCTATCTCACTGCTTGACTGGCCTCATGGGGAAAATATTATTTTCCATATATTTTTCCATATATTCTGAACCTCTCTTCTTTCAGCTTATGCCTCTTGTCCCTCATCTTCCCACCCTTCACCACGCTAAAGAGACTGGGTCTGTCTTTTTTATAACCTCCTCACAGGTATAGGCAGGCTGCTATTAGGGGATCCCAGAGCCACCTCTTCTCCAGGCTGAAGAAACACAGTTGCTCCAGCTTCTCCTCACCAGGAGCTTCAGCCCCATGACCATCTTGGTAACCCACTGCTCAACTCACTCCAGTTTACGGATGTCTGTCTTATTTCTGGGGGGCTCAAGTTACTTTTGTCAATCCTCTGATATACTGTGTTACATCCTTGCCCTTTTTGTTTGAGAAAGACGGCCAAGTCTAGCAAGGTGGGAATGCACAACAAATGCACTGAAGGAGGAGTGTGGACAAGCCCAGCAACCACAACTGCTACCTCTCTGAAGTTTTCTGACAGCAGCAGGCACTCCCCTGCTTGGACTCCTCTTTACAAGGGCTGATGGTGAGATCCCCTTCACATGGCGTCTTGTATCGTGCATTAATATAATACCAATGCAGATGAGGGCAAAGAAACATGAATTGATGCATGTCGTCCTTCATGCATACATAGTCTACAGCCAAAAGCCTACAATCCAGTTGTTGCAGACAGAACACTATACTTAGTACAACGAATAGCATATTTACTCTGTCTCTAAGTAAGTGGTGAAGTCCAACCTCCCAGGATCTAGACCTGATTAATATACAACTATTAAGCAAGCTAACATATATTCATTAGCAAATGATAACAACTGATAGAGTCAAGGGTAGACAGCCGTCATAAGTGGTTTTAATGTTGCTGTTTAGTCTTTCTGTAGTTCATTCCACAAATTAGTTTTACAATTGCAGCCTAGTGAATTATCATAGTTGTGTTTCACAGAAAACAACTGCAGAAAAGTGTTAATTCAGAAGAAAATCTCTGAGTCGAAAGCAGATTCTTTGGCACACGCCTCTCCCAAGAACAAAAACCACCATGCAAGGGAGTGGGAGAGAGTGGAGTTGCACACACACACGTAACACCACCTACTGCTCCCTCTACATACAATTTTCCATTGAAAAGTCAATTAAAACTTCAAATCACCTTTACTAGTGCAGTAGTGTAATTAATGCACGTCAGTAGGTAATTAATGTAGTTAGTAAAATTTCCTGCAACTAAGACATTGGACTGGAATTCAAGGTGTCTTCAGTTTCCAGGACTAGATATGGAGATGTGCATTTGCCAGCAAGCTAACACCCCTATGGTTTCGCTCTTCCTGAGAGACAGAGCCCATTATATAGTGCTCCCACTTGTTCCTCCCTAGACTATTTAAACTGCCAAATTCCACATGGCAGGAACATTTACTATTAGACTTCGGTTTTAAAGAGGTTTACACATATTTTTATTCACGTTGGTGAAACAAGTCGAAATCAAGTTTAAATAGACAGAAAAGAGTATATGAAGGTTCAAGGTCTGTCTTTTTGTGTGTGCTTATACAACACCTAGTTCTACAAGGTCATGATTGTTCTCTGGGCCTTCCAGATACTACCAAAACAAAAATAAATGAAACAAAGGGATTCATTTATTTGTACTGAAGAATGTATGATTCACAATCAGTGACTCACTAGTACCACACACCATCTTGTTGTGGTTTTAAAAGTTCAGGGATTAGTCAGCTTGGAATGGAATTGCCCCTGCAAAAGGAAATGCGTTAAATGCTACAACAGCATTAACCAAACACAATGTAAAACTTTCAAAAGGCCTTAAAATGTGTCCCCCACATCTCCAAGGTACCCCATTAGGTTTACCAACATCCAACCCCAATGCTATACCCGTTTCTCTGTTACTTGACTCTCTGATCTGTCTCCCTACTTCCCAAGTGCGTCTCACTCCAGCATCCTTAGTGCATAAGGTACAACTGCCCTCAGGGCTTGTTCTTCAAGAAAGCTGCATCAGACAAAAGTAGCTGCCTGCACCTCTGTCTTCATAGAAGCACGTAGCTGCTGCCTGGCAAAGATTAAGAGACCAGGTGCACTGCCACAAGTAAGGCTTCTTTGCCAACACTTCTAATGCTGCAACCTCATTTCTACCCTGGGATGCAACAGCTGTCACAGCATCCTTTCTATATAGGATTTTTTCTGGAGAGATTTCAACACATGGTACACATCCTATGGCAAGGAACCCTGAAAGACTGCATGTACTGATCCAGCAAGTGGATTTCGTGGTAGCAGGTGGCACTGCTCCATGAGTAGTTATGCTGACTCCCAGAGACTGCACTGTTTGATTTCAGAAGCCAGAGACAATTCAACAGAAGACTCACCCACAGGAAAGTGAGTTAAAACTAAACCAAAGCTAAAAATTGAAGATAATTTCTACCACAAATAAAAATTACAAGAGTGTCATTCTTTTCCTGTTTCGGGAACTTTAGGCCTTATAGATGCATCCCGCTACAGGAGGATTGAAAGGATAGCAATACAACAGCAGAGTGAAAATTAGTCCTTGGTTTATGCAGACAGTTTGATCATCTCAGATGATGTTTAACTGGCCTATAAATAAAACCTTCTGATTTTGTGCAATTTGATTACTGAAACCCACAAACAAGAAGTTATAAAAAATAACTTATATTAAATCGTACCAAAAACTTTCTTATTTTCAATAATATAATATTAATACAATACAATTTTCTACAGGAATCCTCTAACCTGCAATTAGGTATTCTACATAACCTGATGAGAGCGTAGAGATAACCATGCATTCAAACTTCTGGTCAGCTGAGATCCTTAGCTTCGGTAAATGTCAAAGAAGAGCTGTATAACACAGCCCTAGCCTGCATATAGTAGGGTAATGGTACAGTAAGTTCAATGCTTCACAGAGCACCAGACCTCTTACTCAGGAGACAAGAAGTATATAATATAGCAGGCCTGACACTTTCCCAAAACACTGCCTTTACTGCTCAGACTGATCCCAGGGGCAGTAAGTAAACGAAAGGAAGCCTGGCAGCAGCCTCTTACCCTGGCACAAATTCATGAGGTGACTGTGAGATCCAAAAGCATCCCGGTCGTCATTACTGCCACTACGGAAGCTACTCATGCTGATCGCAGACCATCTTTTCACACTGCAAAATAAGCGTAAGTAAGTGGTGCCAGCGTCTGCGGCACCTAATCTAGCAAGCTCTATTTGCATCCAATGGTTGAAACAGTGGTTCATTATTAAATTTATTACTGGAAAATCCAGTTCGGCTGATGCGGTTGTGCCCTCAGAGGGGCCCGGGGGGGTCCCTGCCACAGCGATTCCCACAACGTCAGGGCTAAAAAGGAGCCGAAGACCAAAACAGGGGCCTGGCTGAGCTGCCGGGAACGCGGGGCCGGGGGGGCAGGAGTTCACCGAGCGCCCCCGAAGCAGA